ACCGTTTCCCTTTCCTCCGTCGTAAAAAGCTTAGGTTATTCCAAATCATGTTTTAGGATCATTTTAAAATAATCGTGAAATCTCGTTAACTGGAATTTATATTCAATTCAGTTGTTGACAATAAAATGCCTGTAATTTTTCGCTTCGATTAGTATTAAATTCTGTAGAACATTTGAAGCTCTGTGGAAATTGAATATTGATTGAAAAATATTCTAAATAATTTTGTAAATATTTTTGAAAAATATTCGAAATTTTTTAAATATTTTAGAAATATTCGTGAAAGTATCTCTTAACTTAAAAATATTCTAAACAATTTTCTAAATATTCGAAACTTTTTAATATTTTAGAAATATTCATGAAAATATCTCTATAGAACCTTTGAAACTCTATGGAAAGTGAATTTTCCAAATAATATAAAAATATTCTAAAATATTTCGAAAGAAATTAGTATTTTTTCAGAGTACCTATACGAAGCTATCGTAATAATTTCAAATTTAATAATACTTTATTATAACATTTCTATTGGTACATTTATTCTCGAAAATACATACATCCGTTATAATTATATGGAGATAAAATTACCGGTTTCCGTAACACGTTGAAAATATCATAAATTAGCGAACGTTGAGCTGGCAGAAAATTTTCAACTCAAGTTTTTCGCAAACATCCGTCACTCTCATACTTATATAAAGAACTGCGCGTATTTTTCCGCTTGTTGACTGCTCACCGTTTATCCTACAAGGTTGTAAAAAATGTTTCAAATAGTTGGAAATATAGGCAATACATATGTACATAAATATGAGCTTCTAGAAAAAGGATAACAATCTCCTATGTAGAGGCCTTCATACTTTTATCCTTTGGATCTCGTTAAAGTGTGCGAATATCGCTTGTTGAAGTTGTACTGTAAGACATACTCGTGAAAAAACATATCACAGGATTAACATTATCAAATCCTCAGATTGAATACCAACTTCAATTAAAAGAAAAATACTTCGAAATATTACACTAATTATCCCATTAAACGAGATACCTTCAAGTATTAAACAAGAATATTACACTAATTACCTCGTCCTATCCTAACCTCAAATTTCATTTTCATCCATGTAAAAAAATTCGATCGTTATTTTTCCACGCTATAAATAAACGAGATAAAAAGATTCCAGTAATTGCTAACTATTTCCATCTAAATTACAAAGTACGCTTTACTGCTGTTTTATGGTAAAAAGAAAAAAGAGAAAAAAAAAGCAAATTACAGGTTACAAGCTGATTTTCTTCTGCTCGTCATTACGTTCATTACGCTTCTTCGATAAGAGAGTATCAAGTGACACTAACGGCCGTTATGCAACCCAAGGAACAACTTACGATATCGGGCGTAAAAATGGCTCTTTTTTTTTTAAATTATCACTTAACGCGTTTCGACGTTTCGCGTTTTGCGAACTTTCGCTACGTACAGTAAATGGGTGTATCTTCTATTTATTTCGCAATTATTGTTTTATCGAAATTGTAACAGATAAAAGAAACGGATAACAGTGTGCGAAAAAAACATTCTTATTCAGATAATAAAGAGAATGTGCGTGATTGAAATAATTTTCAGCGTCGACTGTCTTGGTGCAGACGAATTTATCGTTCGAAACGAGCTCAGCTCTTTGGTATAAGGCCATAACAACAAGTTGATCATTATGCCGGGTACGCGTGTCCTCAGATTTTTCAGCAAACTTTATTCTTTAGTCGTAACGAGAGATAATGCGTCTGTAAATAACCTCGCTTGATAGTACCTTGTTTTGATACAATGCGCGATATCGTGGCGAGTCGCGTAAAGAAATTGTAGATTTCGTACTTTTAACAATTTTGGAGATTTCGTTTCTTCTTATATCTAATTTTTTTTTAATAAACTCCTGCAAAGTGAATTTTAAGTTATTCTGGGTTCAAAGGATTAATCGAATTTGTATTATTGTTCGCCGTATGAAAATACTGGTAATTTTTGTATTTTTTTTTTACGAGTGGCAATTGGTGTATTTAACGGTGATGAAAATGATCTTCTTATTGTTAGTGTGAACATTTTCGAGACGTTTTTTTTTCTCTTTTTTTAATAGAACTTTAGATACAGTGCTTTAAAAAAAAAAAAAAAAAAATGTATTTAGTTAAAATAATTTCCACACGATTCTATTACACTTTTCTCAACGATTAACTAATTTCATTATTCGAAATTTATAGTAATCATCGTTCTCTGAATTATAAAGTTTCGTTATTCGAAATTTGTAAAAATTATCACTTTTGAATTCAAAAGTTTCGTTATCGCAAATTTATAAAAATTATCAGTTTTTGAATTCAGAAATTTCATTATTCAAAATTTTTAAAAATTATCGATTCTTGAATGAGAAAGTTTCATTATTCGAAATTTATAGCAATTATCAATCCTTGAATGAGAAAGTTTCATTATTCAAAGAGCGACATTTCATTTGGCGCCAATCTAATATAAAAGAATATAGAATAATAGATAACAGATAATAGAAGAATAGAAAGGACGAATAGAACAAAAAAATAGAATTTATCGCGATGTAGAAAATTGCGAGTAAGCGACGCAAAGCTATCATTGAAATTTCCTCTTGTTTTTCTTTTTAAGTAATTTAGTATTGATTTTACATCGAGTACTATGAGCAATTGCGATGGAACGTGACGATAACTGAAGCGGTAGTTATCTAGTTTGTACGTAGTGGAAGGAAACATTGTTAAAAGAATTTCCTATTGTTAAAGGATTAGAGTAATGGTGTCATAGAAAAGAAAAATACAGAGAAGTTGTTCGATTTTTTTTTCTCTTCTTTTCGCTTATTATTAGTTAGCCAAAGTGGCCTATTCTTCTTTTCGTGTGACCATTCGCTCGTTACAACGATCGATATTTATTAACAACTGACAAATATAATAGAAGCTGCTGTGTCAAGTACAAAGAGACTGCACTGATCGTCTATTTTTAAAAAAACAATGTATATAGATGTTTGTAAATCTCTCGGAATATAAAATTCAACGAAATTCTGAAGTTGCAAATAACACTAAGAGAATAAAGAAACATTTCTTCGTAAAATAATAAATATTAATGTTCTTGTCAATAAGATAGGAAGAATAATATGTATCCAACACTGTCAACTGACAATGTAAACCTAACTTGTTTATTCAATGGGATAGCACCTCGAGATATATTTCACATGTAGTTCGAAGTATGTATTTCTAAATTCTTCTTGAACACATAGTTAACGTTTGTTCAAAACGGATATATGCAATTTCGTTAAAATTGCATATTAACTTGATTACAGAAATGCAAATCCTCTTTTGTGTTATACTTTATAGACATTAGTGTGCTGAAACATATTTAAAGTTTAATCCTTTCGCTGCATTGGATGTTCGACCGTTTCAAAATTTCTTTTATTAAATTAAGGTGGGCATAGGCAAAGGATAAAATTAAGGTGAAAGTGCGTCAAAAGATGCGAGAAACACATTACGAGAACATTTTCACAACGCCTACAGGCGCTTAGGGTACAGCGCGAAAAAATATTCGAAACGCCTATAGGCTCCAAGGTCACAGCGTGAGAAAATATTCACGCCTATAGGCGCCAAGGGTTCAGCGTGAGAAAATTTTCACAACGCCTATAGGCGCCAAGGACACTGAGAAAATTTTCAAAGCCTCTATAGGCGTTAAGAAGACTGAGAAAATTTTCAAAGCGTCTACAGGCGTTAAGAACACTATGAGAAAATTTTCACTATGTCTATAGGCGCCAAGGACACTGTGAAAAAATTTTCAAAGCGTCTATAGACGTCAAGGACACTGTGAGAAAATATTCAAAGTGCCTATAGGCGCCAAGGATATAGCGTGAGAAAATATTCGCAACGCCTATAGGCGCCAAGGACACTGCCAGAAAATATTCGCAATGCCTATAGACGCCAAGGACACTGTGTGAAAATATTCAAAGTGCCTATAGGCGCCAAGGATATAGCGTGAGAAAATATTCGCAACGCCTATAGACACCAAGGACACTGCGAGAAAATATTTGCAACGCCTATAGGCGCCAAGGTCACAGCGCGAGAAAATTTTCAAAGCGCCTATACGATTAAAAATAATCTGATATAATTTGGACCCAGATAATAAGAAACTACTGATAACTACCGTAGATAACAGACCAATTATCTAATCCTCTTTCCTACATCATTTTTGTTTCATTATTTACGTATAATCTGCAAACAGTGATGTTAACTGTGTTCTAGGGAGCCGTACGATTACAATCCGCTTCTGGTCAGCGCTCTCTCTGTGGTGAAGTTCAAGAAAGCGCAGATGGACTTGGTGCGCGTGGAGACACGGAGCCAAATTTTATTTTCATTTTTATCTGTCGGGTGGGGCCTGCTCGCCGACATTGACATTGAGAGCGAACGTCTACGAGCGATTGGCGGTCAGAGATTTACGGTTTGGACTATCGCCCGGCTGATAGGACTGAGAACGTACAAGGGCAAGGTATCTTACTTGCCGTGCGATAAAGTACCGTACGTGGAAAATGTAGGTAATGGCAAGGCCTACGAGTACGCGAAGGAAGCACAGATATCGCACTCAAGAAGCTGCGGCGACGATTTGGATCGGTACGTTTTGCGCGTGACCTTCTGCGACATTTTGCACGCAGAAGTGTGAAACTTTTGTTGCACAGTCGAAAGATAAGGAATTGAAGAAAGTCGCTAGAGGAGACGTTTTTCAAAAATTTTCCACGTTCTATCTTTGTATATCTGAATAACGAAGAGGAATATCTAACAAAATATTGTAATATTCTCCACTTTGTATCCTGTAACACTATGTGTGCCTTTCAATAAGAAATTATGAGGTGTTTTTGTGAGAAAGTTCATGCAATTTGTAATTTTACTTTATGGAATGTTAAAAGATTGTTTATGTAGCTGAATGCGTATCAATGTTCAGTTTATAACTGGCACTAGGTTTTGGAAAAATATGTACATTCCTTTTTTTTTTCTTTTTTATTTATTTAATGTCGCATCAGCTTATTTGCCATTAGCGATCACACATTTCTACAGTATTATAATACATTGTCTTTCATATTATATTATTATTTGATGTACACTCCTGTTTATAAGTATTAAGATAGTTACTGAATGTGAAGCATACTGAAATCTATTGGAAACTACTGAAACCTACTAAATTTTACTAAAATCTACTTGCTGAATGTGAAGCAAGCCTCTTTGTCGTTGCAAATTTATTGTAAAATTATTTGACTGACAAAAATCAGTACAAAATTATGAAGATCCTAAAAAGCAAATTATTCATTCTGAAATCTTGAAGTATAACCAGTACATATGTATACTTTCACCAATATATGACACTAACTTTGGCAAGAAAATATATCTTAAATCATATAATACTTTCTACATGAACATAACGGTTGTCCTAATACTTATGAACGACAGTATAGATACCTACCTAAATGTATGCGTTAGTAAGCGTAAAATGAAACTTAAAATGTACTTTCAAATGATGATTTTCTTGCGCAAACACCTGGTACGTTCTTGCAAAGAGCGTTGGAAAATTTAGCATGATAAGGAACATGTGACTACACTTGTTACCTCTGTGCAAGTGAATATTGAAAGCGAAACATTAAAAATCAAGTTGGTACTTTGTTCACGTGTGTCCCAGTTTCACATAACACACGGTATATGCGTTAAACTGTCGCGTGAGACACTGTCTGTCAATTTTTCGTTGTACGTAAAATCAGAATCTTATCGTGCCAAAAAGAAAAGAAAAGAATGATGTAAATGGTGTCCGCGAAGTCCGCTAAGTCCGCTTAAAACACTGTTTGCCTCATGAATATATTCTTAATCTTGAATTAGTAATTAAAGTAACATCAAAGGCTTGTGTTTTAATTCCAAGTGCTGTGTATTGTTTAATCGTTTTTAGATTAAAGTACAAGGAACATACTTTTATAAGTTGGTTTTCTTTTTTTTTTTTTTGCAGTTGCATATCATTGTAGAAAAAGTTCAAAGTGAAATCCAAGGCCAAAGTTGATTATTGGTGAAATTGTTATTATATGAAATTAATAAGTAGGAAAAGTTATATGTAAAAGTGTGTGTGTGTGTGTTTTGCTAATATTAATTGGCGATAAATACAATGGAAATTATTGTATGTTTAGATACAGCAAAGTTAGCGAATCAAAGAGCTTCCACGACGCACTCGATGGAGATCCTGCTATACTGGATGCGTCCTTCGATGGCTTCGACGATAACGAAATAATAAGCGAAAGTATCACTTTAGAAACGGATGCTGAGAGAAGACAGAGGCTAGACAGCTTCTATTCCGCGACCTCCGCGAGGTCAACTTACTTTAGTACGGGTTCAATTTCTAGTTACCATAGCGTCGAAGATCCTGATAACATGGAAATTGGTAAGTATCTAAATTCGTTCAGTATTCATTTCGTTATCTTAATGAAATGTTTTCCTGATTCGACGTTGTTAAATTGTCCATTTAGTTCATTTATTCGAATACATTTGTAATCGTCTTATGCACAAGACTGATAAAATAAAATTGCATAAAATTAAAATGAAATTTTACATAAAATTTACATAAAATTTGTATATATTTCTATTTAAATTTTATTTATAATTTTTATATTCAATATATTTTCAACAGTTTCTGAATGTTAAAATATTGAACGAAGGGTGTCAAATGAAAAGCATAATAATTCAGTTAGCAGCATTATGAATTATAAAAATATAAATTTTATCAAAATCCTTATTCCTACTTCTTTCCTTTTTAAAATCATAATCTTTTTTTGTAATTAAGATGCAGAGAACAACAGTAGTCAAGTTATGTATGGTCCATCGTCAAGGCTGCCAGCTCTTACTTCAGAAGTATCAAGTTCCTGGACACAAATTCAGGGTGAGAAGGATAATAGTGTACAAACTGGACGAATAGAAAATTCTGAAATCACTTTGATGCTCAATAAAATATCCAATACTTCAAAAGTTCTTCCTAGGAAATGTTTTTCACATTTTATGAGGATATCTTTTTTTTATCTTATCACTATTAATTTATGAAACACCTGCACTGCAAGATTATTATTATCATAGTCCAACCTACATTCATTAAGTAACAAATGTTCTATATATTCTTACAACATTGCAAGAAGAAATTGTTCAAATACAAAGACAAAAATCATTTATTTTTTATCAGAGTGGAAATTAAAATTTAATATCTAATGCATATAAAACCAGCTGATATTATTATCGTTTAAATCAAGCAGATGCATACTGGTTTACTTCTTATACTATCTTCTATGCATCTGACACGTTTTTATTTATTAATTTCAAGCTTTATCTATCGCGATACTAAACTTGGTAACGCTGCTACACTCACTTCCTTAAAAACATACAGGCGACAAGGATAAATATTGATGCAACCAGTTTTACTTACCGTGACCTGTATTTGTACACGATACGCAAGCCTTTTCGAGAGTAAGGCCATTAAGACATGTGTATCAGCATAAAACGGAACTCGATGAAAACATCAGGCGAACTCGTAAACAAACGTATTATAATACTATTGTACAATTCCTGTGGAATCAATGAGACGTATTGGAGATTTTGTTGAAAAAAAAAAAAAAAAAAAAAAAAGAATTGTGAAAGAAATATTCAATCGTTTGATTTAAATGATATCTATGATAAACGACGTAAATATGAAATTTACATAATTTCTGTATGTTTTGTTTTTCAGGAGAGTTTGTTATGGTCCATGCGGCATATCAGTCTCATTTAGGCCAAGATTATTTCTTTGCTCCTCGTGCCAAATTGGCGGACGGTATTATTTGGCTCGTGATAGTGAAAGCCGGAATCACTCGAGCCAATTTGCTCCAGGTAAATAGCCCAATTAGAAACAATATTTCCTGTATTCTAATTCATTGCTGCTGTTGCAAGTGAGAAACGCTTTCAAAGACGAAACATTTGTTGCTTAATTATTGATAAATAGTTTAACCCTTTGTGGTTCGTTATTGAATCAAAGGAAACTTACACTTTGGAACGATGGTGCTTGAATAATTAACAAGTGTTATCAGGTAAAATCTTAAAAATTTAAGATACGAAAGAGTATAAAAGTAATTACCGGAAAAATCAAAATAAGAGAAAGTTGGAAAAGGTAATTTAAATTCAACAGTCTCGTTACTTTCATAGTTCACGACCGTCGCAATTGTACATTGTCACGCAAATATAACGTAATAGTTCCTAAACTAATTTGCGAAAAGGGCAACGCTTTTGAAATTCAATTACACATTTCACAATGGTACCATAATTTGGCGGTTGAGCAAGAAGTTTTACGATTTGAATAGATTTACGAGTTTATCGGTGGCATGGGTTGACTGTAATTCAAACTAGCCTTTGAAGCTTATATGAACTCGATAGGTAAACGATAAGCAAGTAAGAGCGAACTGAAACACTGATCACGTGCCTGAACTGTTTTACAAACTTATCAGACTACATTATTAAAGTTAGCAAAGTGAAGTAACTTTCAACTTTCAATCTTATTCAATAATATGTAAGTAGATGCAATTTGATAGATTAACTAAAACTTGAACCACAAAGGATTAAATGATTTCACTGAGAGAAATCTGTATTGTTCTAATATCAAGCAACAAGTGAAATTAAAATCTGACAATAAATGATCATGGTTTAGTCAAGATTAAATTAGAAGCAAAGCAAGCTTGACGTTTTTTTTTTTAAATTATGACTGTAAGAATTTTAAGAGTTATTTACTGTGCCTGTTAGTTCCTGTTGGGTTTAAATAATGGTACCCACCTAACACGTTCTGGCATCGACATGATACCGGTAAAGGCGTTTCGAATAGAACCAGAGGAAGGAGCGAACGGTTACATTACTGTGGATGGAGAAAGAGTAGACTATGGACCATTACAAGCCGAGATATTTCCGTCTTTGGCGTCAGTAATGTCCCCTTGATACAAATTAGCGTTAAACTTCGTATGGAGTTAGCAATGGAAATCAAATGGTACAATCCTAGAACCTTAAGTTCAATGATATATACATATACGGTAGCATGGTCCTGGTGACAATACTGTATTAAATATAATCGCGTTTGCGATACATAAAGTACGATTTAGCTCAGAGGAATGTGATAGGTATACATTGTAGACTGTGAAGTTAAATCATTCCATCAGATGTATACGAGTATGTATAATTTAACGAGATCAACGCAGCCATAGTTTGTATAAGCTCGAATGTTATTTTATAGAGGTTTGTCGTTTGTACGAAATGATTCGATGCTCTTGTTAGAAATTTTACAAGACCGAGTTTATGCATCAGAATGAAGTAAATTTTTTTTGCAAAATATGAATCCGAAGAATCTTATTTTTCAAATATTGTTATAGCCATTAATATCGGTCTACATACTTTAGTTTTTAATTATATGATAAATACAAATCGTTTAGATTTATATTTAATAAAAATTACAGATTGAATACATAATATATAATTAGTTTATTAAGACTTGTTAATTGTTAAAAAAGCATTTCTTATTAAACTAGTCAACTAAACATTTATAGTGATTTGATTACATTCTTTTGTGTATCTGCAGAGAAAACTGCATTATTACATTATAGATACCTGGATTATTCAGTTTTCTCAATTTTAAAGCATATAATGCGCCTGTAAAATTTCGAACACGACCATTGTACCTCCCTGCATAATACCGTTCAATAGTGCTGGTTAACTAGTAATTATTAATTGCGTTCGCTAGCCTAAGGCGGCATACCTTTTTGGACTGTTTCCTATATGACGCACAATAGTGTAACTTTAAAATATTCCACAGGCTTTGTGCTAGTTAGCAAGTACTATTGTTGAGTTTGATAGCTTAACAATCAGATGGCATACACTTAACCCTCGACTTACACGTCAGATTAGCGATGTGAGTTCCATGTAAATTGAGACCAACATTGACGTAGGTGAAAAATTGAAGGATAGACTTTAAGATTCCATTTTTATCATTCAGTATAAAATGAGTAATTTATTTCTGTATTTATTAACTATCATTTTTGTATATAAAATAGCTTTTAACATTTTATTAATGTGCAAATATTTCACAATAGAACCTCTGTTATCCGAATAAATAAGTGGAATGCAATTATTCAGATAGTAAAGCACTCATTTTTTAACTGTTAGTATTTATCTCTCTCTCTCCCTCTATTTTCTGAATTAACAAGAATGAAATGTATTTATATGTATGCCACTTGAGTCTGCTATATTACTCCATTAATTACTCCAGAATTTAAAAGGAATTATATCTTTATATGAAAAGAGTGTTTTAGTATAAGAGTGATCGGATAATAAAGATTCTATTATAAAGAAATTCTCTCCTTTTTAAAATTTTCGTTCAACTAACTTTTTAACTTTCAGATACATTTATTGTCAACGTTATTTGTTTTCTAGTTAATTCGATAACTAAAAGTACCTTTTAATATGCACTTACAGAATAGAATGAGATTTTCTTCTGTCATTTAAAAATTGTAAAAATGTGTAAAAATCGCATTGTTTAATACCACGCAGTAACTCGAGGATTAGGTGTATTTTTTTCTCATTGATTACCAAAGGAGAACCATTAAAAATTCGTCAAAGATCAACGATCCAGCTTTCGTTCAATTGTTTTCTTTATTCTTTCAGTGATAAATGTATATTGAATACTGTATTTCTTGTACAATTGTATAGCATCAATGTGCTGTGGTTTCCAGTATCCACGCAGATGGAATATGATCGAAAAGATTGATTTTGTATAAAGATGCTGATTTTTTTTTAGCTTGTATGCATTTTATCGACCAGGCTGTTATTGTAGCTGATTGTAAATGTTGGCGATACAGTATTGATTTAATCACGATAGTGCTCAAATCTTGTACATTTAGATGCATTTACGATTGAAGAAAAAAAGAAAAAGAAAAAGTGTCAGTCTTGTGGTTGAATATACATAGATTCGCCGTTTCTGTTCGTCTTATGTTCACGTTTGAGGTATTTTCTTGAGAAAAAGTAGTTAATCCACCATTTGTCCGACGTAAAAACATATCAGTTTATTAACACATAAATGTGGAAAACGTTGAGGATATTATACTTGATTCTGAAAAGCGTACGGTTATCGAAGAAAGGAATTTTTAAATGTAGATAAAAAAACATTATCGAGCGCCAGAGAACATTCGATATCGCGTATTAGAGACGAAATTTGTGTATGAATTACACTATTAGTTGCGCTTTCATTCATCGAGAACGAATTCGTCGACGTTCTTCTTTGATTAATAAAAAGATTTGAAAATGAAAAAAAAAAGTATCGATGAAACGTTTAACGCGTATTATATGGTAATTATAATTTGTACTGTTTTATATAGTTGAAGCGTTGTAAATCTGTGCCAAGAGATGCGTAAAGGTTATTAAGAAATAAGTAGAATGATTTCTTCTTATATTTTTTTCCTTTCTTTAACCTTTTGTACTCCAAGCATTTTTTGGTAAGATTAATCAGCAACTTCGGCATACTTTTGCAGTGAAACTTTTGAAAACACAAGGGTTTGTTTTGAAAAAAAAAAAGAAGATTTTTAATTTGCATTATTTTAATACTGTAAAAGAGACCTGAATTTTACAATCTTAAAGTTCTCCAAAGTAATTACGCATGTCGCCATTGGAGTGCAAAGGGTTAAGTTTAAATTATCCTATATTTAGTTTCGTGCCAAATCCTCTGTTCGTACCTGTACTTCAAATACCAAGAATTATTATGTATGCTCGTATATATTTAGAAGGATTAAATTTTTTACGAAGCAAAGAAATCAATTATATATACTTGTTGTTTTAATCATTGTTATGCTGTACAGTACAAACGAGCTTGTAAATTATTGCCGTTTCCCTAAAAGAAACTATTAACGTAATGCAATATTTTTATTTGCGAGAGTCGCAGAAAAAAGAAATGAAAATGATACCGAAAAGTCTCCCATTTCTTATCTCCAGACGATCAATTTCATTTTTTCTCTCTTTAGCATAAAATGGAATTAAATTGATTAATTAACTTAATTACATATGAAAGATATTGTAAAATCAGTCTGTAAATTTATGTTACAGTATAGTTCGTATGATATGGTTTGTATAAAACACATTCTAATTTAAAGCAATACTAGAGATTAGATTTAACTAATTTAACGAGAATGTTCCAATGACACGCTTGTAATAAAAAAAATTGTTCTTTATAATTACAGATAAATTTACGCTTACTATAAAGAGTTCTATTTAATCCTTTCTAGTCACGTGATGCTTTTTAACGACTTTTTCTTATTTTACCCTATAATAACTAAAGTAACTATAACTAAATTTTCGGTGAATAAATATTGTTAAGTGTTACCGTAAAAAATTCGTGAATATTATTGCAAATGAGATATTTGCTATTGTCAATTTTGCAAATATAGGCTAATATCGTAAAAAGCTTGAAAACTATTGTAAATGTTAAAAAATTAATCTGTAAGAGTTGATAATCAAAGTTTTAACGATAACTATAATAATTAAATAAAGCTTCATATAGAAATGTGACTAGTAAGGATTTCAAAATCGAAGCGTAGGACTTTAAGCGGCGCATTTCTCGATATTTACCTTAAAAGTTTCAGCAAATATAATTGTGTTAAATAGTTACGATTGTACTATAACTTTCGTTCCTGGTGATTTACTTCTATTGTGTATATACGGAATATGACGATTAATCGTGTCGTTGTTAAAAAATAAAAGCTTCTTCGCACGTTATTAAGAAAACGCTGCATTGCTGCTCAAAGTGAAAATTATTTGTCATCGATGAAATCGTATGTATCTATAATACATATGATACATATGTATATTGATTTTTGTTATTCCGCCTAGTTTTCGGCGGAACGATCGTTAATGTTTTTGAGAATAATGAAAGTTATTTAGTATGATAGAGATTACAGATGATAATAAATTTCTTTATATAAAATCACCGTCATCCCATTAGCTTGTTTAGCATCGCCTAATGAGAGTTGTCTCCATCATCCCTGAAGATTACTGAATTATTAGCATTGAATAAGATATTGGGATGTGCTGATATAAATATGTGCCATAGTGAATCATCTTTACAATTTTGTGAGTATCATAAATGTTGGAAGTCCAAAGTTCAACATTCTGTGTTGCATCATGGTAGCACAAAGATTAATCACAAACTACTTATTCATTTCCTTGGAAATTATTTATTTAATATAACATAATTTTAATTGGGAGACAAAAAATTCCTATATCACACGATTAGATTACAACAATAAAAGCTTATAGAAAAACATTGAAGTTCACAGAATCACAAACGCAGGAAATGAAGTTTCCATTTGTTATTTATTTTTTTCAAGAACATTCACAGAATTTCTCTCAATCCAAGCAATCGAACCAAATCCCAATCTCATATAATGACGATATTCTCAGTGCGGTATACATTTATATTTGGATATAATTATAACAAAATCAAAGAGAACAAAAAGAGAAAAAATTTGGAAAATATATCACAGCATAAAGAATAATGAAATTTTGGCAAGTTTTGCATCATACTTGAAGAATTACACCAGTTTTCACTATCATTTTAACAATATAATATAACAGTAAAAAACAGTGCATCATTCAAGTTGAACTTCACTGAATTCATTTTATTTGTTGTTTAATAAATACTTTGTAAGAAATACTTTTTCCATTCTTTTTCTCTTCTTTTTTAATTGGAAATATTAACATAATGTAATAATATACTGTTTAGCAAAGGATATATTTGCGAGGTAAATACCGATAGCTTGATTTTCATATAATTTGTTCACTGGTTCACACATTTAATTAATACTCATAGTTACTATTGAGGCTGCAAACAGAGTGAGGAAATACGTACAATACAATAATTTTCATGAGTTAGGGTTTTTATGTTAGAAGTAAGGATACGATGTTTTTATGAACACATTGAGAAGCATACTTTGTTCGTCAACGGGTAATACTCGTGTAAAATTGTAGAAATACGTTTTTTAAAAAACTTCAAGATCAAGATGGAACATGCCAAATGCATGCATATATTTTGCAGCCAATTTTTAAATCTTTTCTGCTTTGCATTAATTGGAAAAAAAATTAAAAATTTCAATATTTTTGAAACAAATAAATTAAAATAAAATTCCACCTTCCAAACCTCTCAAAATTTACAAAAATAAATTTATAGCATTTCTCTGTTATAAATATGTATAAATAGTAAAATTACACGTTTTATTTTTACACTCTGTTTGCAGCTTATTAAATTTGATAAACGAAATATAAAACATCACTTTTTCATTCAACTCGTAAAAAAATGATGCTAGATTTAAAATAAACGTATCTTTCATCTCTTGTTATAACATAATCTGTAAACATGTTCTAAAATAGTATTTTACAATAACTTAAATATTTAAATTAGTAGCACTATATGTGTTAATTGAATTGAAAAAAAAAAAAACGACCAACTTTCATGTTAACGTGGAATAAAATATTTAACTAAAATTTGTATGTTTGTCTTTCCTGCAATTTGTATCAAATGTATACAGTTGACTTAATAACGCTATGATATGCTGCGGTCCAATTTTGTTCCTAACAGAATTTGCATTATTTTTTTCTTGAAATGCAATCAATTCAAACCAATATCTATTAAGAAAATATGAAAAAATTGCAATCAAAGGCCGAAGTGGAACTTTTTGAAATGCATTTTATGAAATGTATATAGCTTGTTATTCTAAAATTGAGCCTTTTTTTTAACCCACAAGAATATTATCCTTTAAGTATCTTTTCAATAAAAGACTTCTAATTGAGCTATTTTGGACACATAGTAAACAAGCAAAACAGTTCAATAATAACCAAACGAAAATATTTCTTCTAATCGTCTAAATGAAAGTAATGAAGTATATAAAACATTGGGACTGTCATTAACAAAAATAGATTGCAGTACTCAATGTAATAATCATTTCTTAATTCGCGACACTTCAATATATCGCTTTAACATTTGCATAATTGAGTTATAATTCTAACACTTTATACATTAAAACTTTATCGTTATCTCGCACACTTATATAAATTAAGAAAGAAAATAACGCATTTAATAACTAAAAAAAAAATGAAGAAGAACTTTACAGCATGGCTGTAAATTTTAACTCATTCTATTGATCTCTCCTTTAATTTCGTATCATGTTCAGTTTTGTTAATATGAATAATTAATGCGTTAAAGACAGAGCATCTAAATCAGACAGCAGTTCTTTCACATCATCCAGAACTTGCACGGTGGTACTAGATGAAGGTAAACGCGAATAAGGGGAGTACACAGGTTCCATATTCTTGGAAGCGTACCGTTCTACATATGCAACCATTATCTTAGTTATAAGATGAATTTCTTCTCTTATTTTCATTCTGTCCAGAGCAGAAGATTTATATGAAAGCTCTTTTCTGCTTTCTAATTTCGACCGTATTAATTGTATTGGAGTGTGACCATCGTGATTTGAACAAAAAAGATTTGTTCCCGCGTTTAGAAGAAGAACAAGCACTGATACTTGATATGTTGCAGATGCTAAATGTAATGGATTATTACCTACACAATCCTGAAGGTTAGGATCTGCACCATTCTGCAATAGTAAACGTACTATTTCTGCATAACCCCTGTAAAGAAAATATCAAATATAAAATATACAAGTAATTAATTATGAGGCAACTGAAAAAAATTTACCTGCTGGAAGCAAGATGAAGTGGAGTTCGTCCCTGTGTATCACAATTATTGGGTGTAACACGACAACTTAGAAGTCTTCTTATCATAGGAGTGTTGTTTGTGGCTGCAGCAATTCTCATTCTGCGATCATTACTAAACAGTATTTCTATAAGTAATTAATTATGAGACAACTGAAAAAAATTTACCTGCTGGAAACAAGATTAAATGGAGTTCGTCCCAGTATTTCACAAGTATTAGATATACCACAAGTTACAATTCTTTCCATCATAGCAGTGTTGTATATGGCTGCATCAATTCTCATTCTGCGTTCATTTCGATGTGTTATGCGAAGAGATTTCATTCTCCTATTTGCTAAAAGAAAAGGAATATTATTACTAAAATCTAATTACATAACATAACACAAATTTAATTCTAAATAATATTTAAATATTGTCTAATACATTTATTAAACAAAATTGCTTTTTCTTAATACATAGTTATACATAATTATTTTAAATAAACATATTTTACTACTTAGTCATTCAAATTTACTTCTTACATTCTGTTAATTATCAAGATTAGATGTATACTTATTTATGAACATTAGAATAAATTGTTAAGGTTCACAAAACTTACTACAAAATTTAAATTAAAAGTAGTATAATCATAGGAAAATTATCAAAATAACTTACTGTTTTTTAATAATGTCACATCTGATAAATCTGGAACAAACTCTAGCTTTGTTGAAGTCTGCAACAAATAAAAATTTTTTTTTTATCTAAACATTGTGGTATGTTTATTTTAAACCGTTTATTACATACTATAAAATTTCCAAAAATTATGAATATGAAAAAGGGCAGTTACTAAATTAAATTTTTTAATATAGTTAAGTAATTTTTAAATTAGAATTAATAATTTTAGCTGCTTATTAATGAAATAGTATGTCATATCAAAACTATAAATTAATTTAAAACAAACATGAAACATATACAAAAAATATGGAAGTGCGCAAAACAAAAACAAAGTTTTAAGTACGAAAATTATGTTATTGAAAGTGATATCCACTCCCGATAAAAATATACTAAAATAATTAAAAAAACAATACCTACATCAATGGATTGAACGATTGGTCCCGAACTACTGGTAGTCGGTGTAGAATTTTCGACTTCATGTACAATTTCCGGGCAAAATATTCTGGGATACGTACGATTTTCATTCATGAAAATGAATGAACCCAACGATGAAATTGGAAAACTGAAATCTGGATGAGGAAAAGAACCAAGTTTGATCGGAGAAGTGTTTGGTTCAATTTCGCATATATCATTTTGACTACTCGTTGTTGCAAAAGCCGAACTGACATTGATTTCATTTGTTGATATGTCTTCATTTTGAGCGATTGAATCATCATCCGAATTATTACTTGTTTCGATTCCCGAATCCATGGATGTCATTTTCTATTTAACTGTTCACCAATGTTTCAGAAACGAGACGCTTCACTTTCCAAACTTATGCTTAGGAAAGTGAAATACAGTACGTTCATGCGTAGAAGTTGAAACATCGACAGCGTCAATCAGACCGCCGGAAACAGTGATGCCAGAATCGTGGGACGTGGGCCAAAACGCTTACCCCCACTATGACCTACCTCCGTCTCCCACTATACCGTCCTCGTGCTTTCACACAAGTGTACCGGTAGCTCTGTCCGTGTGCGCAGCCTGTTCGGCACTTTCCGCCACATCGACGTCACCACGTGATTCTCCAGCAACCTGAGCACATGAGTAACAATCAGGAGATTCCCTTTGAATCTCGGTGCGACGCAGTGTTTCGAGTATATGGGCGTTCGGGACAAAAATCATAACTTCTAATTTAATCAATTTTCGACCTAAATTCTCTAATACTTTTTTGAAGAGAATTCAAATATGCATTGATTGGCACATAAAAAAATATATGGTTTCATATAAAATAAAATTGAAAATTTTCGAGTGGTATAAATGTTTTAGCACTTTACCGACCGGTAGCCTATTAATCGGCTTTTTGCCGCCAACGCTTACTGACCGGTAGCCTATTAATCACTTTTTTGCTGCCGACGCTTTTCGACAGATAGCCTATTAATCGGTTAAAGTTTAACATTTCTATAGGTATAAGAAAAAGCGCATATATTCCCGCGCGATAGCCTAGAGTTTGCACAGAGCCGGTGTCAGCGATGTATCTGTGGCCGAGTGAGCGGTGAAATGCATAGGATGTTCAACCGCTACCGGTCGGTAAAGTGGGACGTGGGAAGTGGGAGATATAAGTGAATTTTGTGGGCGGGACGATAATTTCAAGAATTGGGAGAGACAGTTGCGCCTGCTCCTCGAAACTTACGGATTGCACGAAACATGATGAAGGTATGTATTGGTTAGAAGAAAACTTTTTCGACTTCTAGATTCATCCCTCCAAATTTCGTTAAAATCCTTGGAGGTCAGGTATATAGTCTCTTTATTAAGTGCTTTGCACATCAATACTTCTCAAATTTTTTATTTCACTGAAAAGTTACAAAATGAAATTATAAAATAATTAAAAATAAAAAGTAACACCGTCGCACCGAGATTCAAAGGGGAATCTCCTGATTGTTACTCATGCGCTTAGGTTGCTGGAGCGTCACGTGGTGACGTGGTGTGGCGGAAAGTGCCGAATAGGCTACGCACACGGACAGAGCTACCGATACACTTGTGTGAGAGCACGAGGACGGTATAGTGGGAGACGGCGGTAGGTCATAGTGGGGGTAAGCGCTTTGGCCCACATCCCACGATTCTGGCATCACTGCTTCAACGTATTCTATCGGGTGTTAGAAAGCGACTGATTTACAGCGTGTCTTTTTCGCGTATTGTCTAGTTACATCTTGCTAGTTACTTCTAATAATCTGAAGTTCACCTCGTTTTATCTTTATATTCTACTGCATATTTTCTTAATTATTGTAATACTATGTGTCGAAAATGAGCGCATTATTGAAAAAGAAAGAAGTGTAACATTTTTTGTAAATGTAGAAATGTAATATTATTTTTTATGTGTTTCATTTTTGTCATTCAAAATAAGATTAAGTAAGGCATTCATCTACTTCATTGATACATATTCTATGGTTCGCGTATTTGATATCATTTTCAATGATATAGTAAACACAATTATAATTTAAAATATTTGTTAAAACTTTTATTGAAGTAAAATGTTATCACTTGCGTCAATGACATTGTTTCGTGCTAGTCGTTATACACGTAGTATACAAACATGTTAGTATACACAAAAATTTTGAAACAATTTTTGAGATGTAGTTTATATTTTTGTCTTTTCAGATTTGGTTGTCTATGTCAATAAGTTTCACACATCTTTTACAATATATTTAGATCAAACCTGGAGAGAAAAGTAAGACGAATTTCATAAATTATAAATGAACAAATATAGATTAAATGAAAAATTTGTTATATAATGATTATAGGAAAGGTTTGGTAAAAAATCCACATCATGTTGGCCCAATCATTACTTCACCAGATTATTCTTTTAAAGATAGTAGACCTATTCCATATGGTGTAGGACAATTAAGACGTATACAGAAGCATCAAAAATATGTGGTACTTATCTTAAACAAGAATATATTTAGGACAATTTAAATTAGATCAAAGTAATAAAATTCTTAATTTACAGAAGCAGGTTGTTCAATTGGTTGGGGAAATTGATCGTGCAGTAGAACGACATGCTATGTTAATGAAAGAAAAGGAAGATGAAAAACAAAAGATTCTGGATAGTAAATTGAAACCCAAAGGGCAAAAATTAATTACTAGTACATAATGTTTCTAAATTATTTCATAATTTATAAGTAAATTTAAACAATAAAATATACTGGCATTTCAATATGTTGTTTTAAAACTGCATTGTTTATTTCAAAGCTATAAATATAAATTTATTTGAGTTGGTAATTAATAGGATATTTTATAAGTCGTGGAATTTTGTCTTTTTCTTCTTGTGGAATATCATACAATTTAACTGGAACAAGTTTTAACTGTTTGATTTGATTAGAGACATTTTCTAACATATCTTGAGGAATATTTTCATCAGAAAAAATATGTAACCTTTGCATAGTTTGTCTTCGTTGCAGATTTCCAGTCATTGAACTATAAACTGCTTTTTTAACAATCTGCAATGTATAATTAAAATACTTATAATATCATTCGAAATATATTAATATTCTACTAAAATTTATTACTATTTACCATAGTGGGATCTTTACTATGTAACTCCCATGCAAGTGTCCAAGTGGCACCACCATGGTAAGTATTATGATGAAAATATACACGTTTTTGCCATTCATCTCCTCTTAATGCAATTTCTTTACTGTTTATTATTATGACATGATCACCACAATCATCTATATAATAATTCAGTATAAGGATATTAATATTAATGATCACATAATATGAAACTTGAACAAAATAGTATTACACTAATATAAGTATAACATAAATAATGAAATTGTATTTTAAAACACTGTCACTGAACTTACATAAATTCACTATTTGCATATAATACTATATATATATATGTATATATGTACTTAATTCTACCTACTTAATGGATGATATATTGGTTTGTATAACCCCATAAGATAGTACTTTATCAAAGGTGCACTTTTAAATGGATCTTGCCAAGCTGCATCAAAAATATGCCAGATACGTGCAAAGGTACCCCAATGCTATAAATAGATTACAACCATTTAGATGCATAAATATATTAAAAATAAAAACCAAATTAATATTTCAATATTGTACTAAAATATGTCCCCTATGAAAATTTTTTTAATTTGTTTAATGAAACACTTCTTAAACAACATAACCTATCAAATAAGCATTTATAAGAAGAAATAAATAGTAAAACTCTTGAAATTATTTCCTTTAAAAAATTAAAACATTAATTTATACGATATAAATATAAAAAATAGTAGTAAAAGAATTTGTTGTTTACTAATAGAAAGATGGGAAATTGAAAATTGTTTAGAAAAACAAACCTGTCCTCTACGAACAAGAGACATTGCAGTTTATATAAAAAACGTAATGTTAACGCAAGAATAATAATATATGTTATTAAATTGAATTGGACATTATATTTTTAAGGTTAAATTCTGATATCGAGTGTATCAATTTCGGTGAAAAGTTTCTTAATTTGGTAACACTGTAGATGGCACCGTCTATTTCAAGTGCACATGCGCTGAGATTTAAAGATTCTTAACTTTATAATTGAATCCGTTTATTATCACTGACGGAATATAAGATATAAATTGTTGGAACTATACTTCATAAAATACTTCAAAATACGAAAGTTAAAGCTACAGCAATGAATTAAATATGTTCAGATCCTCACATTGGTATGTTTTTGTGGATATTTTACATAGTAATGTGTATCAAAAACTACAATTTATAGCAGAATTCAAAATGCTAGTATCTGTTCGTGCAGGTATACTTTAAAAGAATGTTAAAAAAATTAGAAGATAATTTAAAATTTAAAAAGTATTTTAATGT